TTTGGAAGTCTCTCAACTTTCTGTTCAATCTTGTTGTGAACTAAAAACTGCACTAGAGAATAAAGTTTAGCTTTAAATGTAAACTGATATCTTAGTTGATTTATAACACCTGGTCTAAAGTTCTGTGATTAAAAAAAAAAGCAATACAATTTTTTTGCAATTGTAAAATAGTTGACTCGTATATAATATTTTCTTTCTTCACTTTAGAGAAATATAACAAGGGAAGTGGTTTGATTGTGCTGGGAGTGAAATTGCTAGATCTAAGTAGATATGAGTGCCAAATGTACGCAGTTTAAGAGCAGACAGAACTGGACAAGTGGGGAAAGTGGAGCTGCTATAGTGTGGATGTCTATGCCCACCTCAAGCCTTTTATTGAGATCCTCACCTTTAAGGTGATGCTCACATGTGGGGGCCTTTGGAGGACCAAGTCATGTGGGCAGACCTTCGTGAACAGGATTAGCACCTTCACCCCTTCCACCATGAGAAGACCCAGCAAGAACGAGGAGTGTATGAGCCAGAAAAGCAGGCAGTCCCCAGGCATGGAACCTGCCGTAGCTCAGGGTTTCCTGGACCCCAGAACCATGAGAAATACATCTCTATGTTTGTATACTACCCCGTTTATGACATTTTGTTACAATGACTAAGAGAACAATTATTGAGTCAAAGTCCTACATCTTATAAGTAAGGAAAATGAGGCTGTGGGTCACAAGATGATTAAAAGACAGAAAAAAATGAACTCAGTGTCTGCTTACCCCAGCAATTCAACACAATTATAATAAAGTTCTTAAAATTCAGAGATGCTAACATTTTCTTCTCCCATGTATTCATTTTTCCCCCAGAAGACATGACACCAATTAGTATATTTCTTTGGCTGATAATACTCATCAACCTTTGTATATTTACTCATTTATTCCCAGAGGTCATTAAATTTTTTTGTTTGTTTTAGAAATTCTTAAACAGCCTAAGAAAACATTTTACTGACAGTGAATATAAAATGCAAGTGTTTATTACTAATGCCAAGGCTATGCTCACCACCCTATCATTGTTAGTGAGAAGCTAGAATCTTGGCCGACCTCTTGCAGAGGTAAAAATCCACCCATGGTGGGAGCAGCTGCGACTGTGACGGAATCTACAAATAACATGCTGGGAATTCGGCAGGCACTGTTATTATATCCTGTTTACACTGTCATTTCTCCTATCAGCAGGATATTATTTATACAGACCCCACCCCTGCACTTCTTGTTTATCTTATTATAGAAGCCCTCCAGATCTATAAAAAGCAGCCTCTGCATTTACTTCTGGAACAGCACATGTGTTGGAATTTTGCACCTTGCTATACTTTTTTATTTAGCATTTTCTGTTGTTAGGCACCATCCGCTCTGATTTTATCTTAAGGTTGATTCCACATATTAGAGTTGAACTCAAATGACTTTCAGAGAATCTGCTATAGAACAATAGAAAAGCATGTCTAGGTAAATGGCCAGATATTCCAGGGATGGGAAGGCTTCCTAAACCAGGCTCACCCTCCCCTGAGTGGGTCAGTCATAAGGGCTTCACTAACTCATTGTTCTTCCCAGACACGAGAAGTGCTGTTTCTGTTAGCTTCCTGGCTGGACAGGCCGGGACACAAATGTGATTAATTCATAATACATGAGAAGCACAACTCAGTGAGTTAGCCAATAGATAAAAAGTAGATTAGCCTGCCTATTAATTTCCTCATTTTCCTGTTTTGTAGATTAAAACAAAATAGCAAAAAAAAAAAAAAATCCTGCAACTTTCTTACCCACAAAAATGGATGGGACTGTTGAGCAAGCAATCATCCCTGAAACAGTGCCTCAGTGTACCTTTTGACGTGTGGTTTGAGCTAAACACACCCAGCTCCTTTGTGCTTCAGCTAGATCTATCAGATGGCAAGGTAGGTGTGAAATGTTCCAGGCAAAAGGACAGTGACAGACCCTCTGAAGAAACTGCATCACTTAGTTGAGGATTAAACCAATGTCAGAATGTCAGAATGCCGCCCTAACAGAATGAGGTGCGGTTAGTAGGAACGGATAGAGCTATGCTGGGGAGATAAAGGCCTTCTAGTAAACCAAGAATTTGGGAGCATACAAATGAGCTGGACTCTCAAAACTACAAGTTGTTAAATTCAGCTATGTGAATATACATAATAGAAGATGGCAATAAAAATGGATGTGGGGGTTGCATTATAAGAATTTCCTGGACTGGCAGAATGGCTCAGTGGATAAAGGTGCTTGCTGCCAAGGCTTATGACCTGAGTTCAATCCCTGTAACACACATGATAGAAGAAAAAAGAAACTCTCACCCCAACACATACACTGTGACACTCATGCAGGAACACACAAAAATAAATGCTTCTTTTTTTAATTTCTTGTTTTAGACAATGAAGAGCCAAAGGTAGGTTCACAGAAATGTAAACCCAATCCTTTGGAACAAAAACAAAGAGGGAAACCTCTTTGAGGTGAAGCTGAAATGGGGAAGACATTTTTAACAACATCCCATCATTACAGTGGTGAAAGGAAGGCCATGTGTACAACAGGTAACAAATGTCTAAGTGTATCTCAGCTCCTCCTTTCTCAAACGGGGGATGGTATTACTGAATGAGGCAATGATAATAATCAATGCCTACCAACTGGTACTCATGTTTGCAAAGTTTTCCAGTTTCCTAGAACAATCCTTCTCCAACCTAAATCACTTAGGGGATCTGGCTGAAATGTAAATTCTACTTCAGTAGATTCAGAGGTGCCATCGTGTATTCCTATATGTCTAACAAGTTTTCAGCTAATGCCAAAACTGCTATTTCCTGGACTGTATTTTGAATAGCAAGATGTAAAACCTCTTTCAGTTTCCCTTTCTAAAATGGAAATATTTGATATACTGTGTTTAACTCATTATGAAACAATGCTTTTAGATATGCCACCCTATCTGGCATAAGGAAGACCTTTATAGGTATCTTTTTATGATTTGCAACAATGTTGGACACTCATCCAAAGCCACTATTTTACAAGTCCAAGACAAGGGCTAGCTCAGAGGGTAAGGGAATTTGTCACAAAGCCTGGCAAGGTGAGTTTGATCCCAGGATTCACATAGTTGAAGGAGAGAACTGATTTACTCAAGCTGTCTTCTGTCCTACACACACTCATGTCTAAGATGATTCAAGATTCAGTATATTCAATACTCAGAAATATTCTCTTCTGAACAAAAACAACCTTGCGATTCTATCATGTTACAAATTCGTCTTGCTCCCCCTCCCCCCCATGCACCCAGGTTTGCGAACTAGGACATATATTGCTTATAGTCCTAGACTAGAGGCTAAAGCAAAGGTACAAAAAGACAAGATCCCCATCATGGCATAAACTACCACATCACGAGTTTCAGTAACACCCGCACGACTTGCCCTCATAGTGTGTTAAGCACTGTAACTTAGTTTTTTAAGATAAAGATTAATAATTTATCTTACACATCCCACTGGCAAATATTTAAAGACTTAAACATTAAATTCACACACCTTTCTTTACCATTAAGACTTCTATACAGAGGACATGTTTAAAAGTCTTTTTACCAGTAACAAAGACATTGTTTATAAAAGAATATTACTGGTAAAATATATACACTTGCATGTATGTATAAATATAAAGGGTTGGCTGACATAGGTACAGGGGATGAAATACTTTTAACTCTGAAGTTACATTTTTAAATCAATTACTAAGCAGGGACAACCTCTTAAGAATATTTACTTCAGTATGTACCAGCATTTCCACCACAGAAGGAACACCTGGAGGAGCTCAGATGCCAACCTGTAACCACAAAGTATGAAAACCGAGGCAAGGGCCTAAGATGCCCCAAGGCATAAGTTTGCAAGTGTGAGCAAAAAGGGGTGGTGATGGTATTACTTGCACTGTCAGTGCAGAAAGTATAATAACACAGCAAATGGGGCTAGAGAGATGGCTCAGTGGTTAAGAGCATTGCCTGCTCTTCCAAAGGTCCTGAGTTCAATTCCCGGCAACCACATGGTGGCTCACAACCATCTGTAATGGGGTCTGGTGCCCTCTTCTGGCCTGCAGACATGCACACAGACAGAATATTGTATGCATAATAAATAAATAAGTATTTAAAAAAAAACACAGCAAATGTAAATGTATTAGAAGAACTTCTGGTTCCTCTAGGGCTTTATAACTAAGGACAGGCACACATGAACAGTGATGGCATACCTACACCCAGATTTCAAGAGTTCCAAAATGATACATATACACCACAGGTCAGGGTGAGGTCTGTATCGGGTGGAGAATGGGATGGGATAGAAACAACAACAACAAAAAGACAATGGTGACCCTCATCTTCTTAAGAGGGGTGTGAGAAAATTTTTCACATACAGAAAAGGTCATTCAAAAGACACAGTTTTCAGTAGGGGATGGGGAGGTTCATATATCCCAGCCGCAAGAGGTCATTATTAGCCACAGCGTGAGTTTGAGGCCAGCCTCAACTGCATGCATGCCACCCTGTCTCAAGAAAAGACAAAAAACAACAAACAACAACAAAACCAAAGTCCCAACAACAAACCCCCAAAACAAAAAAGGAAAACAAAGACTTGCGTTTTCCTCATGAGTCACTTTTTACTGGTAAAGTCCTAGATTTAATTGAGAGGACTGCAAAGCTTTTAAAAATAAAGACACAGAGAGCAGCTGGTGTGCATGTGTCACAGGCGCTATCATAATCAAGAGGAAACGACATCCCTGTTTCAATTATAAAATAGGGATTTTTTTTCTTATTATTGACGTTACAAAATTTACTAACACAAGTTTTAAAAATAAAAATGACTGGAGCATGTCCTTGCTATCAGAGACACTGGTTTAAATCCCAGGCTTCCGTCACCATGCCCAAGCCAGAGGGCTGCAGCACGGAAATGTGAGCGATAGTCCAACACCTGCACAGACGGCAGAGACGAGACATGATTCTAGAATAAAGGGCTCTCCGGCTCTTACCTGTTACCTGTGCAACAACTGCTTGGGAAATCCTCCGATTGGCAAGAAAGGCTTTGATTTCCTCTTTTATCACACTGCTGTCCCTCCTAACAAAAACAGAAGACAAGACCAACAATGTATGTTGAAGGTAGAAATCCTCATCTTTGCTAAAAGAAAGGTGAAGCAGAGAGGTGGGGAGAACACAGAAAGGAAGGACACAAAAATAAAAGGGGAACAGACTAAACTTAGGTGAAAATATGAAATTACAACAAACCAAGAAACACCAAATACTCCAGTCCTGAAACATCACACCATCAGACAGACACCTCAGTGAATGCCACTGTGGATACAAGTCTCATGTGGGAGGACCATTAATTGCATGCTGTGTATGATCTAAATTAGGAATAAGGTTGCCATATGCAGTATGTATGGTCTCAATATCGGGGAATAAATCATACATAGAAGTCCTGGAAAAATAAAAAGCAGCAGCATTGAAAATCAGCTGAAAGTAGATTGTGGGTTTGCAGGTTAGTGGAGGAACTGCAGAGTGACACTCATCTTAAAATCTTGGAAATACGTCAGGGGCAGATGAACACCACTTTTACAACTGAAAACACTAGCACTGTAAGAAACACCCTTAGCTGCTTCCTCTCCCTCCCTTCTGCATAAGTCCCTCCCCAAAGATTGTGGGATGATTTGAAATAGTAACAGTTTCATATTAAAAGTAATTATTAATTTCATATTACATGTAATAAATACACAAAATAGTTAACACTAAAAACTAAGTATAGTAATTCAACCTTGGTAGTACTCTTGGTCCACTACAAACTATTTAGAAAGTCAGCATGCATTCATAGACCAGACATCCATAAGAATAACAAAGAACAACTCATTCTTTCACCAAAACAAACAATAAATAAAAATTAAATCGGAGCCTAAAGACTATAAAACCAGAACATTGTTTCTTGTTCAAGATGAAAATTGACAGAATCATGGTAGCTTATCTAAACAAGGTCAGCAGATTGAGGAACTCGGCTCAAGTCCGTCTGCTGCCATCTGCCCTCATATAAATCACAAACTAATAATCTTTCTCAGATGGACCTTTGCAAATAATTTTTTTAAAAAAAATCATTCTTCCTTTTATTTTTACAAACATTGTATAAACTTCCCATACCGTATACAACTACTACAATTCCATATTAAATTTTTTTTTCATATTTTGATGCAGGGACTCAATCTCTCTGTCTGTCTGTCTGTCTCTCTCTATCTCTCTCGTTTCTCAGTGTAGCCTTGGCTGTACTGGAACTCGCTCTACAGACCAGGCTGGCTTTGAACTATTCTCCTACCTCTGCCTCCTGTGTGCCGGGATTAAATGCATGCACCACTGCCTGACTGGAACTCACTCACTAGGCGAGCCTGAAACTATTTAGTCTAGGTGGTGCTCAAACACAAGGCAATCCTCCCATCTCAGTCTCCTGGTGTTAAGAGTACAAGCTCCATGTTGGATTTTGTCAAGAAAGGCTGTGGCCATTTCTCTCTCCTCCTCTCTCTCATTTTTAGTTTCCTGAGACACGGTCTATTAGTGTATAGTGCTGGCCTTGAATTTACAGATCACCTAGTCTCAGCTTCCTGAGTGCTAGGTGTGTAGCTGTGTGCTACCCTTCCCAGCTCTCTCTCTTGTGTAGTGTGTCAATACCATACTGTTGTGTCTATACCATACTGTTGTGTCTATACCATACTGTTGATTTTGCCTCTTGGCAAAGTCTAAAAACGTTAACCACTAGCTATTCACAATAAAACCTTTGACCTTTGATCTAAGACAGACATCACAAACTTTTAAAAACTATTTTGTGAACAAACCACAAATTTCATAGGGCTCAAGTCTCACTGCAGATTGAGTAGAAAAAGAAGTATCTTATCAGAACATGATACCATTCTGCAATTTCAAGTAGCTAGGTCTTTCAGCCCCTCACCTGGAAGTGCTATGCACTCTGTTGGGGGTGCCATGCTCCCTGTGGAGCTGTACTCACCATAGCCTGCACACGTGAGTCTCTGCTTCTCTCTGAGCCCAGAGCTCAGAGCTCACTAGTTTGCTTAACTGGCTGGCCAATGAGCTGCAGGGATCCCCTCAGGGCTAAAGGCACAGGCCACCACTGCCTGATTTTTTTATGTGGGTGCTGAAGACATGAACTTAGTTCCTCATTGCTGTGCAGCAGGCACAGCACTATCTGGGCCATGTCCCTGCTTTGGGGAATTTTGAAAAAGAGTAGAGATGGAATATTGAGTATCCAATATGTAGCTCTATAACATCCCTGAGTTACTGATTGGAAATCACAGTCAAGCGGTTACAAGAAAACAAAAATTTAGCTGCCTAATTTAATATTTAAAATTTCACAAACTTATTTAGATTCCAATCTACATGCTGACTACATTTCTTTCAAAATGCCTGTCTCTGGACTCTGGACCAATTATGAGCAAGAGACAACTTTAGCAGTAGCTATTTCAGACTGCTCTTGTACACAAACCAAATAATTTGTCTTCTGACATACCTTCAAAATTAAGTTGAATTTTTTTATATAAACTATTGCATTTCAATATACCAAATGATCTTGGAAAATGAAACTATATTTGAGAATAATTGTTCAGATTAAATTTAAAAATGTACTTTTACAGGCAAAATGAGCAAATGGTATTTTCTTGACTAATAATTTAAAATCAAATTTAAACCAACTCATTTTAAATCAAATGCACCTAGAGCAGACACTAAATCATACAGAACAGATAAACTCAACTATGTAAGCAGCCTAAATTACTCACAGCCTTGCAGCGTGGCATAAAGGACTGCAGCAAGACAGGAGGAGTCCCCAGTGTTCAGAAAGCAGCAACCCACTCACCACCTCCAAGAATCCATTCTTATATATTATGCAGGTTTCTAAAGTATTCACAGTAAGTTTAAACAGACATTCTTCACTGCTTTACCATAGATACTTTTTGAAAAACAATTTAAAAAAAAAAAGACTGGGGTGTGGCTAAAAGCCTAAATGCCTGGCTAGCATCATAAGACCCACCCTGGTCTCAATCTCCAGCTCCCCCTCCCCCCACTTCTTAAAAGACAAAAACATGCGAAGGAAAGCCACTTAATAAGGTTGTGCTCTAGCTTTACCCTTTGTGAAAACAAGAACATTAACACACTCATTCCAAAGATTTGCATTTCTATAGTGTATATTAATTGTGCAAAATAATGGGTCTCACTATGGCATTTTCACACATGTGTATAATGCACTTTGATCCAGTCCCTTGGCTGCCATGCCCCCATCCTCATCCCTTCTTCACTCTTACTGGTCCTCTTCCTCTCCCCTTCTCAACTCCAGCTGGTCCTTTCCCTCTCCTCTCCTCTCCTCCATTCCTGTTGGATTTTCAGAGGTCATGGATATAGCCTGTGGCAGTACGTGTCCCCAGCATGCACAAGACCCTGTGTTCAATCTCTAACATTGGGGGTGGAGGAGCCTTTAAAATGTTCTTCCAAGCAATGACATAAAAAACTGAATGATATAAATACAATATATCATTCATATATACACATACATGCATATAATATGTGCAAAGGAACTCTCTTTGAGGTAGAAAGTTCTGAAATTGTAAATGTACCAGATAAACACAAACTATTATTTCTATAAAACAGTCAGACAGGGTCCACAGAAAAGAAGAACCAAATGGTCAACGGTATCTGTCAGACTGAAGTTAACATCTCAAACCAGGTGCCTCAAAGCACCATGTACAAAGTGCTCTAAATCACTTTAGAAGAACGCCTGTTTGCTTGGGTTCGCTAGGTATTTGCAAAAACAGTAACATCGCTTGCCTTCACTGTCCAGTTCATTCTACTGGGTTGGCTTGGCTCTTTGTCTTCTTCACCCGCTCCTGTGACTGCCATTCTACCTTGTGGAATCACCTATTTGCTAGCGTGAAAGATCACTTACACAGATCTCTCTCTCTCTCTCTCTCTCTCTCTCTCTCTCTCTCTCTCTCTCTCTTTCTCTCTCTCGTCTTCTATTTCGTATTTCCTCCCGTTGTTGGCAGTCTGACATGTTGCCGAAATAGAATGAATCCTTTCTTCCACTGCACCTAGTATCTCACATACCTCAAGGCTGTCCACTCCTGGAGTCTTAGTGAATTAAAGAACAAGCCAGTTATTTCTCTGGTTTCACTTTTTACTTCCAACGTAAGCAAGCACTTGGTCTCAGCTGAGGCACCTGAAGTGCACGCCACATCTTCCTGCTGCTGTTCTCAAACCGCTGCACTGTTCATCCAGTGGACTTCTCAGCAGGACGAGAACCACCACTGCCTTCCTTTTAAACTAGTTAACATCACCATTAACCCTTTCTAATATATATGTAAGATTTCATCAGGAATGCCTTTTTGACAAAACACTTTCAAAAATTTTATATGTGTCTGTATCTGAGAATAGGAGTATGGGGCAGGGGTCTAACCCAGGATCACTTTGAAAAAGAGGTTTTGCTGCCTAGGCCTCTAGAGTGCTGGGATCTAGTGGCATCACCACCCTGTCCTGATTCTAATGCTCCTTACTTTGTTTTGTTTTGAGCATGGTCTTGCTACAGAGCCGAGGCTGCTTTTGAACTCCCAGCAAGCCTCCTGCCTCCACCTTCTAAGTACTCATATTCCAGAGGGCTACTGCCACACCTGGCTTTCAGATTAAGAAGATATGATATAACTGTCATCTATCTAGGTAAGTTCTCTCTGATCATCATAGCTTACAAAGAAAGATCTCTGAACAAAGCTATCACAACAATTATAGTATGGACAAAATGCTATTCTATAGCCCATCTATCCTACTAGCCTGGAAAGTTCTTTAGTACAAAGATTCTGTCATAGTCAGCATGGATTTTTCATATAATAAAAGTTAATTTGTTCAATGAGTGAAAATTTTCTAGAGATTAAAGGCTGTAAAATGGAAACCCTGATCTAAATAATTTATACAACGGCTTTAAATTCTTATTTTCAAGTACATTTATGTTTTCCAAATCAGGATGGAGAGGTTATTTATGGTTATTCAAAATGACACTGATTTGTTTTCTGGAAGAAAGCATATTAAAGGGCTCATATTTTAAAAATAATACACTTTAGGATGACTCATACTTCGAGTTAACACACCCTCAGCATTCTTCTGGATGTTATAAAGGGAGCTAGCTCAAAGTCACCCCAAGATGAAGCCGACACAGTGTATTTCACAGTTGAAAGACACTCACGACTTTCTCCCTGAGCAGATACAAAGCACAATTTTTAGAGAGAACATTACAGGGAGAGCTGTTCTATATGCAGAAGATAGAGGGAGAGCGCACCACCACTCAGTGGTGTCACCTTCCTACAGAGCATGAGCATCCTGCCTGCACGAGTAAGTACAGGCTGAGCGCCCCCACTGAAGCATGCCGGATCAGAAGCCTTTCCAGATTTTCTCTTTTAAACCTGGGACTATTTTCATATTTATAATGAATATCTTAGGGGCAGAGCCCAAGTATAAATACAGAATTCAACTATGTTTTACATAATTATATAGAGAAACTAAATGTAACTTGAGATAGTATTTTAAATAACTCTGTGTCTAGGAATGTGCTCTATTATTTTTCACTTGTGAACCAGAGTGCTCAGAAGCTTTGAATTTTAAAACACCATGGCTCAAGGATGCTCGGCCCATGTTTTAGTGTCAGCGATATACATAGCCAAGTTCGTATGAACCTGCAGAATTTTGTACAAAATTCTAAAAAAAAGGAGGTATATAATGGTATAGAGCAACATGCTTAACGTATAACATTACTAATTTCAATAAGCCTCATTTACATTATCTCATAACGCATACATGACTGCAGGAAAACACTGCTATATTCTATTAGTGGATGTAGCCATACATTCTTATGCATATACTTACATACTAATGGGCCTCTTAAGATGTCCTAATGTAAAATGAGTTGGCTTTCACTGTTGACACATGCAACCATTTACTGAGAATTTACATGCTAGTGTGGCTTTCTTCTTCATTTTTTGATCTCAATTCAAAACTAGAAAAGAAAATGTCTGACTCTTGAACAAATGATCAAGGGTACAGTTATAACCTGATGAAGCTAAACACACACACACACACAAAATTTCCATTATATACTTTCAAATTATATGCTGTAATATAGATTCACTGAATTAACAAAATCTGCAAAGCATGTCTTAGGGTGGAGTACCTGCAGGCTGGGGCTGTGGGCAAGTAGGAGGTGGATTTTTCACACAGCACAGGAGGCAGGAAGGCCCTCAGGTGTCCATCCTTCCTACTAGAGCCCACCAATTCCAGGTCACTGTCATGTCAGTGTTTAGCAAACAGGAAGGACAGTGTATCACTAGACAGACACAGAATACCCAGAAAGAGCTACGGTTTGAAAATTTCTCTAAGATCTCACCAATAAGAATTCATTATTTACAGTAAGTGACTGATCTGAAGTAGCAGGTAACATGTCGGGTAAGGAGCAGGGCAAGCCCAGAAAGGCCATTCACATTGTTTAGAAAAATTATAATTATTGCTTTTCCTAAAGCTTCATGTAGTCTATAGGCATAAAAAATGTCAGTGATAAAAATATACGAGCAACAAAATAATAATAAAGACATGGGATATAATTTAGGCTCAGTTACCCAATAATCAAACTTTCCTGAGCAGATTACTAATTTTCATGAATTCAGGTTCTCTGATCAAGCACCCAGCATGGCTGTTGGGACTGCAAACATCATGTGAGCAGCCAGTCAGTCAACTTTTCCCCGAGTCCTAAGAAGGTCTTGAGCAAACTTGATCACAGTGAGAAAGGGTACACCTGAGTAGAGCTGGGGTGGAGGGAAGCTCAATTGTGGAGGACAGGGAGGGGACCAGAGGTCTAGAGGGCCCTCGCCATCTAAACGTCAGAGGAGCAGTTCTGAGTAAGAAGCAAAGGAAGGGAAGAAGAAAGCATCCTAATAACTACACAATTAAGAGCACACAGATGAAACACACATTATTCCCATGAGACTGTACCCAAGTGAACATGCAGAAACAGAACAAGCTAGCACCTGAACAAATAAATGCTATTTTACTATCTTCTCTACGTGGGATAATTAAAATCTCATGAAACTTCAGTGACTAAAGTAATTAATTTGCCCAAATAATTCTCCTTTCTAAATAATGACAGATGCTAAATTCCTAAAACCATCTAGGGCCAAGGCTGTGACTCAGTGGAAGATAAAGCCCTGGGTTCAATCTTGAGCACTAAGAAAGTCATTAGCAACAGCAGAGCCTTGGGCACCTGTGTTAATAGTTGAAGAGGAACCAAAAGCTTCGTTAATCTCTTGTATTTCAGAGTACTAGAAGCTTGCTAACACTGACTGTCGATGAGGTATGACATTCTTCATTACATGTACCTCACCGTCCCTGCAGCCAAGGATTCTATGTGTCACAACTCTACCCTGAAAACAATCTCAGTAGAGGCCATGTGCCAAAGGCTGTCTCCTCACTGAGGTGCCACAGTATGGATCTCCACACAGCACAGTCAAGCCACCGTCATTCTGTCCTGATGGCAGAAAATCTTCAGGACTAGTTAAAACTCAGTTATCACTTTTGTTTTTACTTCTGACAAGTCTACAATTCTGTTCATTATCAACTATAACTAATTTATCTGCAGCCTCTCGCCTTTTATGTTTAATTTTTGATTATTTTAGGCGTATGAGTGTTTTGCTTGCATGCAAAGGTCAGAAAGTTTCTTAGCTCCTATGAGAGTTATAGATGGTGGTGCTACGGAACCAAACTCGGGTTCTCTGCAAGACCAAGTGCTCTTAACCAATGAGTTCATTTCTCCAGCACAAAGCAATCATTTTTACACAGCAACCTAAATATTCTGAAAAACTGCTTTTGGCATTTCTGTTTGTGAAAACTCGCTAATTCTAACCACTTAGTGTAGAATGTGAAGCCTCTGAAAACGTGTGCTGCACCCTGAGGCATCACTACATTTGCCAGTCTGCCTCATCTGTACTGCTTTTCTTTTGATGCTTATTGGAAAGAAAAATCAATGCTCTGTAGGCAAGACAGGCCTGGAAGTTACCACGCTAGCCTTGAACTCAAGCAATCCTCCTGCCTTGGCCCTCCAAATGTTGGAGTTACAGGCATAAGTGACCATATCCAGCTTATATTCTTAATCAGGTTGAAGATATGCCTTTTTTGGTTCATTAACTAGGAAAAATAAAAAATTAAATTAAAAATATGCATATTTCTATTTTTATTTTAAAATTTACTTTTAAATTTTTGTTTATTCTATTTTAAAAAATTAAAAATTACTCACTTACTGGCTGTATGTGTATGTACAAGATTATACTATGTCATGGCATGCTTGTAGTCAGCGGACAACTTTCGGGAGTTGGTTCTTTCCTCCAACTGTGTGGGTTCTAGGGATGGAACTCAAGTCTTCTGGCTTGGCACCAAACACCTTTATCCCCTTAACTAGCTCCATATCCTTATTTAGCCTTATGGTTTAGGCTAAATTTATCTACTCAGCTAACATACCGAGCCCACACCATGTGCTTCAAGAAGTTCCTAGTTCTGGACACAGGATAGGAAACACATGTGTGTTACCCTCAAAGCGAACCAGGTCTGCTACAAAGTCCAAATTACTTCAGCTTCACTGTGTTTGTGTGCATGCGTGTAGTGTGTGTGTTTAAACTCGAAGTGCACATGCTAACTTGGCAACTGATGAGGTATGGAGTACATGTGGGTGTTGCACCTACTACTAAAATTAGAACTTCAGACATTTAGGGGCAGGATACTATCTATGAAAATTACTTCTGACCCAACAGTTGTTCAAATTGTTGCACTGATAGAAATGATGCAAAGAAACATGAGAAGTGCATGTATTCTACATCATGGTAAATATATCTTACCACTCAGAAAAATATTTACAATGAAGGAGTAAGGACTGAATTAAATAACTAAACTATCAGTCAGAAACTATCTGCTAACACCATACATAGAGAAAGCCCTGGGACAATCAAGAAACCAGAAAAGCCTCATCATGTGGCAAAGGGCTGAAGTAGAGAAGAAAAAAAAAGTTTGATCTAAAACCACAATTTCAAGTTTTACTTTCAATTCCAAAGAAGGGAGGGAGAAACCATTGTTCTTATCGGTAAGTTTTTGAAATACAAGCTATTATTTAAAAACAATCTTAAAAACATAGCTCTTTGGGGGGAATTCAGAATAGGCAAAGTAACTAACCTCATTAATTCCTCCACTTTATCATCTACATCTAGGTCCTCTTCTGAGGCTTCAAAGCTATATGACCTCTGACCCATGCTGTTTGCATTGTAGCGAAATGGCGACATCTTCCCATTGGATGTGGACAATCGATCGTTGTTCTCCCTCCCATTTTGATTGGTAGTGCAAGGCTGTGGGGAGGTATCATAACTGTTGCTGGGTGATGGGGACATTCCGGAGTGCTGGGTCTGCGTGGAAGCTGTGGCTGTACTGTTCCCATAGGAGCTTCCCCCGTAGCTGGATCTCCTTCCAAACTTATCACTATGCTCTTGATCAAGACGGTCCAAAGTTTCTAATGCATGGAGAATTTCATGTTTGGTCATCCCAGTACGCCGGAGACGTTGGAGCAGATCTATCTGTTCTATGGTAAATCTGGGTTCATCTGTATAGTGAGACATGGTTTCCAGCAAACTGGAGGGAGAAATGGATAAAAATGAAATGCCTTTATTGTCAACTAACAAAAACATTTCACCATCAAGAATCCTCAGTAGAAGAGGTTTGATCTCAGCACCAGCTCATTGAATATAAAACCCTAAGGGACAGGGAGAGGCCCAGTCAAGTGCATGCTTGTTGAGTAAGCAGCAGTGCCTAAGTTCATATGCACCAATGCAAAAGCTGAGAGCAGCAGCACATGACAGTTCTAGCACTGGAGAGGTAGAGATCAGATCGCTGGGGCCTGCTGACCACCAGCCAGTCAAGCTAGTCAATGAGCTGTGGTTTCAGTGAGAGTCCCTGTCTCAAAATAAGGTAGAGAGCAACTGCTGAAGACACCTAATGTCCACTTCTGGCCTCCACATGCCTTCATACACGTATTAATAACACACATACACAAACACAACAACAAAGAAAGAAAGAAAGAAAGAAAGAAAGAAAGAAAGAAAGAAAGAAAGAAAACAAAAAGACATGAGTCCTAATAGACTTCTTTTTTTTTTTTTTTTTGTGGTTTGGATTGGTACAAATTCTTAGTAGAAATCTATCAATTATAACATAAAACCTAATTTATAATGGAATAAAAATTACGTTTTTCAGTTTTGGTAACCAACCAAAATTTGAAAACAAAATGTTTATTATGTTAAAATGCCAATTCATCAGGTAAAGTACATATAGTTGGTGTGGGAGGTCCTTCTGTATGTGTTGCTTTTATTGGTTAATGAATAAAGAAGCTGTTTTGGCCAGTGGTTTAGAAGAACAGAGCTAGGTGAAGGGGGGCCAAGGAGGGGGGGATGGGACTAAACTGAATGCTGGGAGAAAGAAGGCGGAGTCAAGGAGAAGTCTTGTAGTCTTGCCAGAGACAGACACCACCAGATAGAACGTTGCCAGTAAGCCACAACCACGTGTCAATACGTAGATTAATAGAAATGGGTTAAATTAAGATGTAGGAGCTAGCCAATAAGAAATTAGAGCTAATTGGCCAAGCAGTGATTTAATGAATAGTTTCTTTGTAATTACTTTGGGGCTGAGCAGCTGGGAACAAACAAGCAGCCTCCTACAACATACAGTGCATCACGCTTAGACTATGTGGTAATGTACAGATTTTTATCAATTTCAAAATATATTGATACATATTAGCATATTAATGGAAAATTGGTGGAAAAGTCTGTGTTATCTTGCTTTTCCAAGTATCAGCAAAACCTGACAAAGAACTGTTAGGTCATTCAGTGAAAACTGTTTCGCTTGGCTTAGTTTAAGCAAATGCTAGTGACTACACAAACACTTGGTTATACAAATATAACAACACACCAAGCACTGCTTCTACTTTTTAGCTTTGCAGTCTCGTGAGCTTCTCATCTCTGCGACATGCTCTCTGAATTGATCCCTCATATGTACAGCCAACTGGAGCTATTCATGTCTTGAAAATTGGTTCTACATGTTTCTACCTAAATTAGCATAAGACACTGTAGAACACTAGAAAATGTTTTCTTAGAGAGAAACTTGGTATTTTAAGACATTAGCTACATCATAAAAACATTCTCTCTTTGAATTACTTTTTAAATAATAGCTGACTTTTAAAAAGATTTATGTATTTGTCTATAATTTTGTAATGAGTGTCAGTCTGCATGTATGTATGGGCACCACATGTATGCAGTAACAGGAGCAGCCAGAAGAGGGCAATGAATGTCCTGGAGCTGGAGTTACAAAAAGTTTTGTAAGCTATCATGTGGGGACTGAAAACCCAACCCAGGTCTTCTGCAAACATCAAGTGCTCACAACTGCTGACCATGTCTCTCTGGCCCTAAAATCTGATTTTTGAATTCAATATTTTTGAAAATGATAACCATTTCTATTCTAATCTGTATTTTCTAGTCACAGATATGATATGTGGCATGGAATAACCTTGAAATAAATAATTACTAAGAGAAACAGAGGTCAAGACATTTTTTAAAAATATTTATTTATTTATTATGTATACAATATTCTGTCTGTGTGCTTGTCTGCAGGCCAGAAGAGGGCACCAGACCTCATTACAGATGGTTGTGAGCCACCATGTATTTGCCGGGAATTGAACTCAGGACCTTTGGAAAAGCAGGCAATGCTCTTAACCACTGAGCCATCTCTCCAGCGCTCAAGACATTTTCTTATCCATTAAAGACAAATGTGCTCTAGACAGTCCCCTAAGCCTTGTGGCGAGCTTACTATTTCTTCAACCCCTGGACAGTACTGTAGAAAAATCCAATTGAATTAAGAAATTGCACAGATATTTCATACAGTATAGCCTCATGTAATCCTCACAGCAAGTCTCTGTGGTAGATACGACTTATTTGTTTTGTTTTAATGTCACAGTATGAACTGTTAAGGAAACCGGGGCTTAGGATACCTCTGTACCTGTCAGAAAGTCTCAGGCCAGCCTGGCGGCAGAAAGACAACTTCTACAGCCCACGTGGGCAGCAGACCAAGTTCAAGGCCATCCTGTAACTAGTGAGACCTGTCTTAAAATAAAATTCAAGCACTCTTTAAGAGCAGTTTTCACTCTGAGCCACAGAGCTACCTCTCTGGCTCCATTTTTTTTTTAAATAGTTGCCAAATCAAAATAATTTACCCCTGAATTTACTGGCTTGGCAAATTCTAGTTTCCCCTCATAATTACTTTTTCATCTTCATAGGTACTTTCCCTTTAAAATAAAAGCCCTGTTTTGGTACCTTCAGTCTTCATCTAATCAAAGTATTTCACAAACTGTTCTTCCCTTAGATGTCTAACTTTAAGAACTATTTTATCTAGATGCAGGAAAGTTAACCATATTTTCCTATCCTGTTCAGTCAGTGTGGATCACAAGTCATGTGCAGTTCTTCAAGCCTCCTTCTATCTATGAGCAAAGAATTCACAGTATCTGAAATACTTTACACCATTTAGGATCCATTAACAACAGAAAACCACTTTTATTCCGGTATCATCCATCATAAGGGGAGCAATAGGGCTCACCTATTACCTTGATTACCCAGAACACCTAATCATGTTCTTGGGTCAGCTCTTCACAGAAATCAACTTCTGGTGAACAGACAATCACAGGAATAGAAACTGGGCTCTCTTCAAAACAGTCTACTTAGACTATGGTAAGCTGGACAGTTAGTATAAGTGTGCTAAGTCATAGGAATACTTTCGTGAAGCAGGAGCTGCTGGAAGAATAAAGCAGATAACCAAAAAATGCAGAGAACAAGGGGAAAACCCCGCAGCATCCTACTGTTGCCCTGTAATTATTAAGCTTCTAACAATTCTGCTCTTCTGTCATTTGGTGAAACAATCAGTTTCCCTTTACACTTCACTGTGTTTAAATGGATATCTGTAATTTGTACCAAGAACAGCCCCAACTGCCAAGGGAGCTAACGCAGAGGTCAGTTGCCAGGATCCAAAGAGTGACTTAGGAGGACAACAGCATCCTGAGTAGGATCACATCACGCACACAACAAGAAAACACAAGCACACACAAATGATTAGAAGCTCTTGTGGACACAGAGAATAAGATGCCAATGCACATTGATACACATGACGGGATATACTATGCCATATTCCACTTGTACTTCTCAGAATTTACCTAGTACTGTAAGCAGTTTCATAAAATAACAGCAGCAAATGACCTTTAAAGGTCATCTAGGATGTCCTCCCATGACAAAAGATGACATTGAGGAGTTAAATTACTTTTCTGATACACAAAGATCACTTACAGGATAAGGGGCAGTTTTGCTTTAAATTACTAATTTGAATGTAGGCTCCAGCTAACACTAACTGAAAATAATTTAAGAATTTTGACACTCGAATAGGATAGACAAAGATTAAACTTGAAAAGAACAATTCAGTTCAGGACTTAAAGCTCAGTTCCTAAACTGATACTGTAAGACCACAGTACATCTTGAGATATTTAGACCATATTTTGCAATAATACCTAAAACCTTTCTAGACAAGCCACAGGCTTGGGATATACTTTATAAGTGATATTCCAAAGACAGACAACAGAAGAGTTTAACTAAAGTATTAAGAAACGATTAATTAGCACTGAAATCACAGGGGCAAAAATGACATGAACCGCAAAGCATCAACAGTTAACTTTTAGACAAAGTTTTGTCTCAGATCATTTCTGCTGGTTTTTTTGTTGTTGCTGTTCGTTATTTGTTTTTTTTTGAGACAAGGTTTCTGTTTCTCTGTAGCTTTGGAGCCTGTCCTGGAAACTAGCTCTTGTAGACCAGGCTGGCCTCGAATTCACAGATATCCGCTTGCCTCTGCCTCTCGAGTGCTGGGATTAAAGGCTGCGCCACCACTGCCTGGCCATTTCTGCTGTTTTTATCTTGTCCAGAATGACTAGGCAGAACTCATTTCGCTTTATGTGGTCACTGTAGGATGATTCAGACATTCCAGGCCCTACTTACTATTTATATACATCGCTCCCTCTCTTCATTATTACCTCTATCAAATATGTGGCTTCAAGAAAGAAAATGACATGTAAGAGTAAGTAAGAAATAATGTTTTACAGTGAACTGAGCCTCACTGCAGTGTAAAATGATTCTTTAGTTCAAATTATTAGGTAAACCCTCTAAAGCCTAAGAACAGCCTATGGCTATAGACCACCTGTAAATGTCCCTTTCATAATAAAAAGATTTTATGAAATGTATAATTATATTCCATTCCAGTGTGTCAATCAAGCTTAGTGTTCTTTTAAATTAGTACCGATTGAGCTCCATTTTGTGCAGTTTGGAGGATAATCTGTTATGCAGCTTTAAAACGATTGCAAAGACTGCCATACATAACAAATACGTTTATAAGATACAGCAGAGTTGATGTCCATCATCTGAGGATGCAGCTCATGAAGCTCCTCCTTTTACTCTTGGAGGGTAAAGTACTTTGTTGTTTTGACATGTCTGAGACAGATTCTTGCTATGTAGCTCAGGCTGGACTTGAACACACGCTCCTTCATCCTTTGTGTCCCAAATACTGAGCGTACAGGCCAGAGAATATTAATTCTCATCAGAGTCCTGTACATGAGAATCTGGAGTCAACCCCCATTCACTTGAGAACTCTCCCTTCTTTTAGAAATGTCACATTACAGCTCCCCAGACCCTGTAGAAAGTTGCTGACTAGAACTACTAGCCTTCAAAACATTTAAGTTTGACAACTGGAAAGCTCTGCCACTTCACCTGCTGTTATCAGCACTGCCCTCCAGCAGCAAGTGCTGAAAAAGAAACAAAAGAAAACAAATAAAAAAAAATCCCACAGGAAAAAAAAAATCTTATTGCTGCTTTCATTTGTCAATACATTCCTTAATTTTGCTAATTTAATTGAATGAATTCTTTTAAAAAATTGTGACAATAATGTGTATACAATGCGCTGGCTACTGCATTCATGTCACAGAAGGGAGCATTCCCACTGCACTCCTCTGTCCTGTGGGTCCCACAGTCCTTCTGCTTCCTCTCTTCAACGTTCTGGGCCTTGCAAGGCCTTGGTCAGGATGGCACAGATGTTCTGTTTTGGGCTAAGCATTCAGCAGTCAATCAAGGTGACCTCCATGTGTCCTCTTCGTGATCTTGCAGATCTCTACGGTGAGTATCAACAGACGTTGTCACTCCCCTAAAGGTACACCTGGGTCGTAGGCTTTACTTCCCATAGAAACCAGTACTGCACTAACTGAACACCTAAGCTTCAAAAATTTAGGAACTCACTGTGTGGTTAAGATGTACCAAAACTGTACATTAAGTACAGTCCTCTGAGGTTTGTTCATGTTACTGACCCACTCCTCAGAAACTTTAGGAGGCTGAGGCAGGGAGACTAGGAGTTCAGGGTTATCCTTGGCCATGTAGCAAGTTTTGAGGGTTGTCTGTGCTACACAAGACCCTGTCTCAAAACACAAAATAGGGTCAGACAATGGTGACTGCCTTTAATCCCAGCACTTGGGAGGCA